ACAACCTCGTCTCCAGGGATGAGCGGGGCGAAGCTGGCGCTAAGTTCAATTCCCAAACGATTCTTCCAAATCCGCATGTGGCTTCGAAATGTTCGAACATAAAATGTTGAAAAATTTCATTTTTTCTGGGTACCAATTTACGTCGAGAGCTTGAAGCAGGTGTCATACGTGTATGCATCTTTCATTGAGTGCAGTTACCAATATCAAGTGGTTGACACAATGATTGGACATCAACTCTCAATGCATCAACGAATATACGCGCTGCTGACAAGGAAGTGATGGTGTGGCGCCAACCTTCATGGTCTGCTTGAGTTGGAAAACATTTTCTGTGCTTTGAATATCCGGCTGCAGATTAAGTCATGAAACTGGCGATTTTCTGCTTCTTTCATGAATTCTGGCTGACAATTTCCGACAATGTTCCTGAGGTTTGGTTTCATGTTAGTTATTTTATTTTTATTTGGAAAGCTGGGGTTGTATTCAGAACATCACGACAAAGTGTTTTAAACATAAGCGGATATGGAGAATGTATACACATTTCTGCCTGATACAATGTGGTATAACACACCCTCTATCAGTTAAACATTTCTAAAGAGATCAGGCACATGATTGATAACACCCTTTCTTTTACTTTTTTACTATGACCAGAACAATTTGTATCGTTGACGAAGGTTCTTAATAAAATATTGCCATTTAAACATCGGCACACAAATCTGAAAGAGGAATTTTCAAAATGCGTGGGTTTGTTAGACCTTTAATTGAGAACGAAAGTTTTTTTATTCGCATTAGCTTAGCGATGGAGCACGAAGGGTTCTTTCAAATGATATATTAACTTAAAACTAGTGACTGGTTTTTAATTTAATTTAATTTAATTGTAATTGAAGGATGACGGTGTGCCACTTTAACAACGCGACCCCAGCTTAAATGTGTGCAAATGATTAAAGTGCTCATGAAATGCTAATGAATAATGTCAACAGCCATCCGAGCGATGGGAATTCATGTCAACTCCAGAATGCATGCACTGCGCATCGCCCAAAATGTCAAGAAAACGCAGGAAACGGGGCAAGTGTTTAAACAAGGCATCTGCAGCATATAATGGTCAACTTATTACATCATTGATTGAACGTCTTAATGTTTTGGTGATGAGGTTAACTTGCAATTTCATTTTGGTCTACGTGTCTAAATGCAGTAGTGTCCTGCAGTCGGAGTACGAGATTGGGTAACTATTTGCTCTGTCGTTTTAGTGATGGTGGTGCCTTATTACATTACACAACGGTCTATTAGGTTATCTGCACCAAGTGATGCGAATATTATCAATATTTGTACAATAAAAAATGATTGATAGCAGACTCAGACTGGCTCAGAGAGTACATAATTAGAAAGACAACAAAGCAGAAAGCTCTAAAAAGTTCAGTGGAAAAGTGTATGGCTGTTATTCCGTTACTAACCGTATGGTATAATATTCCCTGGGATAAACTTTGTTTAACCTAAAGTTATATAAAAAAAAAAAAAAAAACCTTTACGCTTTGCAACTTTGAAAAACGTTTGCAACTTTGAAAAACACGCGAGCAACAATTGCCATTTCCACATTAAATTTTAGAGGTTTAGGGTTGTGATTGTTCTCAAACTCTGAAACTCCAGGCGCCCTTGAATAGGGACGGGAAGTGTGATTACTATAATTCAAAATGATTAATTTTGTTCCAGAAAATTTAATACAAATCGACTATATTCAAGTTTGCTAGTCTCCCACTCAAGGTAAGTGAAGTTTGCTCTCCACTCAATCAGCATTATTAACTGCATCCATTAAGAAGTCTAAAAACCGTCCAAGGCATCGAGTAGAACATCGATAGAAAGTTTAAGTGCCTTCTTCTGCAAAAACGGACACACTTACGAGGTTCAGCTTGCAATCTTGGTATAAACAGTTCACCGCAGTCGTAGACATAATGCACGACCCACTTAGCAAAACGAAGAAACACGGGGAAATCGTCTTCAGGATAAGCTACCTCGTTCATTACAGGGTGAGTAAAAAAAAGCGGAACCCAATCCCTAACAAGTATATTTCAAATTAAAAAAATATATGTAACCCCAAACATAATAATGACTGGAAAGCCAATTTCATAAGCTACTGTTAGATGAAAAAATACTGAAACTGCTCAATCCGTTCAGAGAATATCACCATTTAAATGAAATGACCCTAAAACCTGGTTCGTCAAACAACAACAAAAAGTTTAGTGTGTATTCCAACTGTTTGAACAACAACAAAAATGGCACAGAATACTTGTTTCTACAACTGTCGACAACTGTAGTACATAATATCTTTATTAACAACCCTGGTAAGGCAAACACTATGATTTGTAAAATCCTTTTCTTTTTTTAAGACGGGCCTTCAAAAGGACTTTGTTGAATATTTTATTTTAAATATTAACTTTTAAACTGAGGTTTTACCGCTGGTGATGTTTGAAGACAATTGTGACGACGATTCTTGAAATCGCATTTTTGGACGAAAGAGGTTTTAGGGACGTTGTGTTTAAATCGTGGTATTCTTTGAACGGATTGAGCAATTTCAGTAATTTGTTTCATCTAAAAGTAGCTTATGAAATTGGTTTTCAAGTCATTATTATGTTTGGTGCTACATATTTTTTTAAAATATGAAATATAATTGTTGGGGTTTGGGTTCCGCTTTCAGTTTGCCTCCTCACCCTGTACAAACTGTGCAGGCAACATAGTTATCATTCTTTGCTGTGAATCCTCCGTGCAAGAGATTCGCTAGTTGACTTCTTCACAACGGAGCATCTGCATCAAGACTGTTTGCGCGCAATGAAGGCATCGTTGCATAAAGCCGGATGCAGAATTAAACGAAACTTTCCAAGACAGTACATGTAATTTGAAATATGTGTCGATAATTGAAAAATGCATGCCGAAAACGTCAGAGTTGATTTTATTCCTCACTTGACACTTCACCTTTTATTGCGGGTTGACAAACCCAGATACGTGAGTAATATTTTTATTTGTCATTTTTTAATCAAAGGCCAACCCGCTCGTCTTTCAAAATCAATCGACCATGAGATGAAAGGAGCCAGCATATATGCACGCACGACCGGTAAGTTTGGTAGCTAGGCACTCAGGTATATGAAAACAATGAATGCATTGCACGCAATACATCACAATGTATGTGACCATGACATGGATTCACATAGTGCATGAAATTATGCACCTGTCGTACGCATTCAGCTATTTTGGCCTACAACAGGGTTGAAAAATTGGGAGCACCATTCTCTCCAAGTACCCATCTAATTTCTTAGTTTTGAATGCCAAACACTCCCAAATCGTGGCACAAAGACGATATGTCGATCACTGCAAAATTGGCGCTGTAACATTAACACCATGGGTCGTATGTATAAAAACTAGCAAATGCTAGCTAGGAAGTTTAATGCAAAAAGTAAAACCATTTACTTTGGAGTACAAGCATTAAGGAAAAGCAAATGCTTGATTCCGTATAAATAAAACCTTTCCTTTACTGTTCAGCATATACTATACAAAAGGTAGCAAATGCTTCTTACCGTTGGATTGTTTTCATGGACGAATGATTGTCAACAATAGGGTATCTTTTGTGTGTACGAACTGCCACACACACACACACACACCCATGAAGGTTTATGCATACATGTAGGGTAATAGTCCAATTCAAGGTGATGCATACAGTACATGTAATGGTACTTTTGAATCTCAAATCCAGCAGAAATCATGACACTTTTCGCCAGTTGCAGAATACACAATATACTTTAATCAGTCATGAACACAGTGTCATGTAAACGTCACAATTGCATTAAAAAAAAATCACAGACACTTGTTAAAGCGGGTAAAATCATACCCACAAAGAGTTTTGTTTATTGAAATATTAAACAAATAATACTTTGGAAAGATTGGTGACCTAATGAACTAAAAAAAATGATTTCATTTTGTTCAGTCCCCAGGGTACCGTTGGATAAAATGTATCCTTTATCATTCTATGCCGAACACTTCTCATATCGTGAACAAATTGCAAAATTATCGTTTTTTCTAGTAAATGAAATTAATGATAAATACTTTTAGCTTTCAACAAATGCTTTCCAGTAAAAGCATTTGCTTCATTTTTATTCATACAAATCCAAGTAAATGCTTAAAAATGGGTAGTAAAAGCAAATGCTAGTTTATACATACGACCCATTGAGTTATATCCATTATTAAAACCCTCCTGTCAAGCATTTCAATGTGATCTACTGAGGCAAAATGAGGAATGTCCCCCAAACCATTGTTTTGAGAAATAGACGCCTGAAGTCGGACATACTAGAAATATCATGTCGAGATCGATATTGATTAATTTGTATTTTTGAGTAGCTTTAAGATATCCAAGATTCACACTTATGTATTGTTGTTGGGAAAAAAATACCCACAAAGTGGAAAAACTTAAGAACGTTTTTCACTGCCGTTGGCAGCGCAATGCGTGTCTTTTTTTCAAAGCCGTTTTTCTCGAAATGACGTTAGAGAAACTTGGCAGGACACTGTTGAAGTTCCTGCGTCATATCTTTGGAATATATTAAGCTGCAGAAATAAATTAGGTATCATTGGAAAGCCAATGAGTTGGGGTTTAACATGATGTACATAACGTGAAAAGTCAAAGGTGGGGGTTATTCTTCATTATGCAATGGCAAGTACCCAAATATAAAGCATATCATGAGGCCTATATAATATAGCAGTTATTGTATACTATAGTGCGATATGTTTCCCATAGCCTTTCCCCCAATTGAACAATAAATATCAACATTTCTAAATAGATTTCCAATACCTTTTCAGTTCGACGTTTCGCCCCAGCACTTGATCAGTCGTTTCCATATATATTATTGAGATAACCTGTCTACATTTCATAACTTTTTGTTTATGACCCCCCCCCCTTCAAAAATTCCTGGATCCGCCCCTGGTCAGACAACACAAACACCATAAAAGCCAGACATTTTAAGACTCACCAAATCCAGTCAAAGCTCCTTCAATTGAGATTGAACGCCCACTGCAGCAGCAGCATGTTAATACCACGCCGTCTTCAGATACAGGCAACAACGAGCGAAAGAGCATACGCGACGAATGCAGATCAATTCGATGGACGAACGATCCTGTTCGGGGAAGTCGGCAGTTAGGAACAGCTACCACGTAGTGCTACCAGGTAGTTTCTGTGATGTAGTTGGGACAATAAAAGAACTCACACCACAGGTTTATCGCGGTGTCATTTCCTCTTTCAAGTGGTTGTGAGTGACATGTTTCTCTACTTTCCGGGTGAGGGTCACGATAACCAGCAGTTCGAGTGGGCGAAAGCAGTATGAATGAGGAACTAAACTACAGACCCCTTTTGTCGCGTTTGATTAAAATACCCAACAACAGCGTCAGACGCCACACAATGACCTAACTTCTTTTAGTACAGCGCCACTTCACACAGTTTACATCTAGCGGAGGCGTTCCGTAAACACGTCATTGTCAAACGGTTCCCCAACCGAGACTCCTTTGCTTACGATTTTTGACGCGTATCGTTCCCCTGTTTCAAGGCCAACAATCTCTCTCCAGTTTCAATGAAAGCTTCATCACTCCATTCAACCGCTCGCCCTTTTTTGTCAATTCCACCACTGAACGTTTATAAAGAATAACAATTCCGTTAAACGATACTGCAGGTTTGTGAGAGGATCCCTCACGTAGTTGGAGTCAAATACTAATAAGTACATTGGCCCAAGTTATCAGCGTCAAGTGGAACACTAGAGTGGAATGGCGGCCCGTGTTGACGCTAATTAACCATTATTGAAGACACTTGAACTATCCGACACTTAATGACACGATCCGTGAATGTACTTACGGAATGACAAATTTCTTACGAAAGCTGTACTGTTTCGAAGCATTATTACGCGGGTCTATAAAAGCCCTGTATACGACCCCTATATATACAGACACCAGCTTATTGTTCAACGCGTAATCAGCCATGGAAAAAAGCTGTCTGATAGTGGATGTTACGGGCTGCAATTTTGTGATTAAAGTCAACAGAGGGCGTCTGTTTAATATGCTCACCAGGGACCGCCTGAAAACATTCATGCACACACTCAGCATAATTACCGATTGGTATAATTATAAACTATTATTAAAAATATCCAAACACGTTTGCACAGGATGATCAATTATATATGCAGCAGTTAATAAAGTGGGGACAAATGCACAATGAAAAAGTTTTAAAAAAGCCACTATATGCTACAGGATGTTTGCATCTTCTCAATGCAAGAGGACACTTAAGAAAACCCAAGGGTAACAAAAGTTCAGTTAAAACGCCCTCCACACTCTTCAATTCAATGCAATGTTCTTGTTCTGTCACGTTTTGATTCAGTGAGCCACAAGATACAATTTCGTATGCAATTTCTGGGATCAACACTCATTTCGTAATTGAAAAAAAAATCGTTCTCATCATGAAACAGCAAAAAGGTAAAATGAGAGTAAGGATAAATACAACTTGAACAAAAAGTGAAAACACTGACAAAGCATGCATGTGGCAAACGGTCACCGTAACACAAAAATAAGTCTCATCATCGTCTCATCAGAAAAAAAATCATAATGAAACTGAAAGCGTTTTCGGGAGTTTCGATCAGCACGAAAACACAATGCTTTGTAAACAATAGTCACACGCTTGCATGTCAAGCAACGAAAAACTCGTGCTGCAATAATGCCGTTTCAGAAACTTGGCGTATAAAAAGCCATTACTTCTATCATTTCAACCGTAAGCAATACAAGTCATGTTCCCGCTATGTGCGTGTTTGCGCGTGTACGATGGGTTTGCGCACGTGATGAGCCCGACGTACTTGTCCCAGATGCATAATAAAATAATTTAAAAAAAAATAATAAAAACCATTCTTCTATAGCGCATATCACCATGCATGTGCCCGCGACCAACATCAATAAACAGAACACTGTTAGGAGACAAGCTAATAGTACGTTTCCTACCAAGTTTTCGATTTTTTTTTTCTCAATGAAAAGTCCGTTTTCAAAGGGCATTCCTTCGATTCGCCTTATCGAAGTATTCAAAGAGCATTCAGTTCTCTGTGTTCTATTCCAAAGTGCGTGACAAGTCGTTCCACTTCGTTTATTTTAGGCCACGCCGTTCATTATTGAATTTCTCCCATTCGTCAATCGAATTATTGCTGCTGGGCTCTTTTTTGCCATTTGTTCTATCAAATAAAACCGTGTTTGGTGCGCCTATACGTTAATGTGCGGTGCGTTATTTTCCTTTATATATTCCGCTGAAATTCATTTTCGTTTAAAGTGAGTACCAATCGACCGTAAGTACTCGTCCTATTTTCAGGTATGACTGAAACGACCTGATCAATCAAGTGAAGTCTGAAATTAACTGAATACAGTTAACAACGACGATCATTTCAAGAATAGTATAGGCCTACAGTAAAGAGACAAGAACCGAGAACATTAATTGAGTGACCATTTTACCTGCTGAATTGTGGGGAAAAACCGGTTTAATGAAAACATATCTCACAGGCCTTTATTCCATACCTGCGGCGCTTTTACCTTCGTTTCCCAAAACAGCTACCCTGATGAACGGAAAAGATAAAAGTCCAGTTAATCTGGACCGTGTTTCCTGGTATACTGAATTGGAAATTATTTAGCGGTAATTTTTATATCGCGCTGGCTCGGACTATTGTTGATCTGACCTACTTTTAATAATTTTCGATCTGAACCCAAATTTAGATGTGGTGATAAACTGACGCGGACTTTCAGCAAATTGTTCTATTAATTTTTGCACCGCATGTCGTCACTTGAGCGGGCGGCATTTACTTATAATGTTGGAAAATAAAGATGCTTGGCTGGCTGTCTTGCTCGGGCTAAAACTGCGTGTGCTTGAAGAATTAATACTACCGTAAACCAATGCCTCAAGACTAAAGACTTATCAAAATAAGGTCTTTCTCGGGAGAGGATATTAAAAGGGGAGAACCAAATTCTGCCGATGTTGATAAACTTGTTAATTGAAGCAGGTTGGTGAACACGACTACAAGAGGAATTGTTTACCAAATATACTTTTACGAAATCTACGAATCAAACACTGCACATACCACAGCACCAATAATGTCATGGAGGCATTTTGACGATATTTTCTGCTCAAATCTGCTGTTGGCCTTTTGGCCTTTCGGTCAAACAGCGAGAGAGCTGGACGATGAGACCAAGGTTGTTATGACCATGGAGATATAGCTTTATGCTATGACCGTTCGACCGACTCCAACCATAAGAGGCCCATCAATCATCGTCTGTTCCTTAATGACGGTACTAATCCGGGTTATAAAAGGCCTAATTCGTTTAGTTGACAGATAATTAGTCTGACGTGAAAGCTGAGTGATGAGATTGGGCAGTGTTAGATTACACCATGATAATTAATCAGATATAGCAAAATAATTTGACAGATCCGACGCCTCGGGGTTTTGAACAATTCAAACAAAAATTTCAATAAACAAACCGTAATGTTAAATTTGTGAAGGTAAAGCCCTCTTTGCAATATACGCATTTCAATCAAATTAAGTCATTAATCGTTCACGTCAATAACAAGAATATGGGTCAACACAATGCCTCAAGCTTTGTTGTGCAGTATGCAAGATAAATATTTACTGGTGAAAACAGAAATTCACATCAACAGTGACCCACAAAAATGGATGTTTTATTTATATCCCCCGATCAATGGGCCAAAACCTTTCTGGATAAATGGAGCTAGCTATAAGTATTAGGCTAATAAGGTGTAATAATATATAATGATAAGAGGCCTAATACACTAATGTAATGTTCTTCATGTACAATCGAGCACTGTTTCCTACAGCCACGTAAAAAAATGCACGCGTCGGCGGGTCGCATCTAGAAAGTTCCTGCACCCTCTGATTGACTTTTTCCCCATCGACGCAAACATGCCAAGCCTACCGAACAACGAGAATGTGACGCTAGAGAATGCGATTCTAAATATACATCCAAGACATTGGAAACTGCAGCTACCTTTTATCCCTTTGCCTTTGAAGTTACTCTTCTACTATATATATTAAATGTGTTTTGTTCAATTCCTTGACATTTCGCTATTAAATCAGTGACGATGTACTATACGAGGCGTAAACGGTGGTTTAGGCCTAAAAGCTTTCCTGCACATAAACACAAAGGGGTCCGCGAAATAAATATGTGAATAGGCGTCGCAGGGGAGGGGGGGGGGGCAAGGAGGAGAACTACCCACGAGCAAAAGTAGTAATAGCTACAGAAATAAATAAAAATAGATGAAAGGAAAAGATAGGAGAAAAAAAAAAACAGAAAAAGAGGGTCAAGTACATAATGTGTAATGATTTTATTTATTTTTAACAATAGGCCTAGAAAGTGCCGGAAAAGGGTCTAAAAGGCAGGTGTGTATGTACATGCATACTGCAGTGTGGGTTGTTGAACAGCCCCAAGCGTCCATTGATGTCCCGATTACCCCCCCCCCCCCCTCCCCCGAATAAAGGGTTGCCGAGGAACGATATTAGACCCCCGTCCCGGCTATTCGAAAGTTCCCATGGCCAGTCGTGGGCCTGTTCCGGACACATTTTGGGGTACCTCCTCAACCCAATTGTTAAGTTTCTCGCTGCTTACAATACTTGAGACGGCATATAATATAGGCCTACAAAGGCAATATTATTGCCTTTAAAATTGAGTATTTGGTCATGTTTTAAAGTTAATTGTTCCTAGGACGTCAATTTTTATACGTGCAAGCTGGTCATGGTGTTTTATTTTCCCACGTAAATCGTTACCTTATATTTTGCTATTAATTAATGATTTTTTTAAATACACTGCTGGGTCTCGCCCTTGGGTTGACTCTACATTCCCTTTTAATTCGAGCACTATTTAATTACATGTCTTCCCCACACACAATTTTGGAAAAATTTCCGGTAGATTTCGGAGTAACCTTTTGTGAACGATTTTCTTTGCAAGCAAAGAAAAACGGGGTATAGCCTTTTGTAATCATTTTGCGACCTGAAAAAAAACGGGGGTAACTTTTTTCAGTTTTTTTTTTTAGTCCAACCCTTCGCCAAATTAGTCCGTGGAAATAACCGTCCCTGGATGCATGCAAAATAGGCAGGCTGTCTTTCCATTGAAGGAAAATAATTAATTGTTGGAAAAGCAGTGATGATAAAATCACACCTCACACTCTCTCAGTGCCTAACAACGACCCGGAACCACAGCGGAAATGATGCCCAAGGTCCTATGGGTTAAAATGACAAACTTTTATCTCAAATAATATTCCTCCCATTCCACGCTGAGCCACTCAATATTTGTATACTAGCCGGCCGCGCTGTCCTTGCTTCGTACGTACGTACGTACGTACATGTACATGCGTGACTTTCTGTGATCAATACCACAGCCTGTTTGTGATGATAAACATTGAGGATATATTTGCTGGAATCAACCATGGATGTAGAAATAAACCAGGGTAAATCAAAGCCTTTGAATTTTAGCCATGAATCTTGTTTGCATGATCCAGATACAGATGCGCATAGGCCATTAATTCAATCTATTTTTTCACTCCGTGATTCAATTTGTGTATTTGTGTAAGTCGGCAAAATGCCGACTTGCAGCAGAAGCCGACATTTGCGTAAGTCGTCTCAAATTCTCTGGTTCCGAGAGTGCCGTCTTAGCCGGAGTTTACTGTAATCTAAACAAAAATTCGCGTCAAATTTGTTTTTGTCAAAATGACACTTTTTTCCGGATGGAATGGCTTGGAAAAGTTGGATCTGACCCAGGTCTGCTTTTCAACATGCCGACCACTTTTGTGACATGTTTCATTTTCACGGATCCAACACAAACAAATGAGTTAATTTCAAATAACGCGGCTCAGTGTTTCAAGACTCTTCATTGTCAGTAGGCCATTCGCAAGCAATACTCCAGACCTCCAAGGTTTCTTATATCTCTTGATAATTTACAATTCCCCAACAATTTATGCGATTCATGGAGCGATGGTCAGAAATGTTAACAGTTACATGTTAAACATCTCGGTTCGAACAGACATTTTAACAATTTAATTTATTAAAGCATGTCCTCACTCGAAAGTTGACACAAACTTCAAAAAAGCGAAAAAAAAAGGCTTTTAATAGTTTGAGGATGTAGCTTCCTGCATAATTTTCAGGGTATTTCCAAGACTATTTAAAAATACGAAAACTGGTAAATATCTGTTCTTAAGAGGCATCATAGAGAGCTAGACAAATTTATGATTCAATGGCTTTGTTTATTTCTTAACACATTGTAGAAATATATATAGTTTTGCACAATTCTCATGTAAAAAAAAAATGATTACACAATAAGAAAGCATGATCATTTATTTAGTTGCTGTCTTATTTACACAGGGTGGCCTTACCAGTCAAAAAAACCTGCTCTCCATAAAGGCCCTGGTTCGTATTACATAAACATAAATTAAATATCATAAAAGAAATTGAATTAAAAAAAAAAACCAAAAAAACATAGATATCATTAACAATACTAAGATTAACAATCAAATTAAATTAGACATAAAAAATAATAAAGACTAAAAAAAAAAGTCCAAATAAAACAACACCGCAATTGAATTGAAAGCAGTTGATATATTAAACTAAAAGTAGAAACTGTGTTTCATCCTGAAAAGTAATATCGACTAATATACCGGAACGCTCACACAGCCCATTTCGGTAGAATATCGAAATAATTTCCACGAAATCTGCAATTATCATATGTAAACCAATCACTTGATATTATAATTAGCTTTAGAAACCCGTAATCAGTTTAGTCTGTAAAGTAGGCTATCCGTTACATTAGCTGAATACTATCCGCTGTACATAAAAGATTGGAATCATTGGCTGGCAACATTACCATCTAGAGTGTCTGCCTCACAAGGATGTCGTGGTTTCCATTCAATATTCTATCACATAAAATTTATATTACACGCATCACATTACACTACACACCATAAGTGACGAGACGACACGGCCTTCGTGGTTTCAAAGCCAGAGATAGAGTCGACAGCCATAAACTTCAAGATAATGGTCACCATTTGCCCCAAAAATTGTATTATTTTTTTGCTGAAACAAAGAAAAACAATACAATAACTCTGAAGCAGGTTATTAAAATAACCAACCTGTCGCCAATTCAGCTCAGTAAGATCTATTTGTTTTGAGAAAACTGTAAAATTCATCTTTACTTGCAAAGCAAATAACGATGCAAAGCAAGGTTTCCGTTGAAAGCCCTCTCTTCCAAATCGTTCATTTACCCTAACTTTTACCCTAACTTTTACCTTACTGAGTTTGACTAAGAACCGTACCAAGTCTGCCAAAATCCATCACTGACTCTGCTTCACATAAATGCTTCAGGACCAAATCCGTACTTGAACCAAAGACAAACACAGTCAGATGCACAAACAAAATACAAACAGGATGCTTGATACTGTTATTAAACATACAATCAAGACTTAGTAGGATATCGTGCTATTTTAGTTGTTTGGTTTTTGGATTGTTGGCAAATGGTGTCCATTATACCTCTAACAAGAAAATAGTCAAACATGCTAAAAATGAAACAAATGATTGAACCCCCCCCCCAAAAAAAAACACCATTAGGCCAAAAAAAATTAAGTCGGTCTCTGGTCAGCGCGTGAGTCGATTTTAATCATGCGCGTCGATCTTTTTCTTTCTCCAAAATGTTCCGCGGTAGCTCCAACAGCGCCCTCTATTTCCGCACCTCCTCAATTTTTTTTTTACCAAAGAGCACCAAGGAATGGGAAATTGCACCAAGGCAAATGATCGAAAGCACCAAGGCAAATTATGGAGGACACCAATGTACATGAGGACACCAAAAAAGCAAAATAGTACCCCACCTTGTCTGTACAATCCAAGCTTGAAGAAGAAGAAAAAAAAAAAAAAGCCGCGTGGCCTCGTCAATTCCGGAACTTTGGTCTGACCAGAGACCGAATATTTCTTTTTTTGGCCTTACACTTCTGTTTTATTGGAATACATTTACAGTGAAACAAGGAAACATCAGGTTTTCCGCCAGTGGCACTCTTTGTTTTCTTTCCAGCAGCCAGTTCCTTCAGCAAACATTTCCTGTTAACGATTACATCAAGGGAAATAAAAATAAATACCACGAAGCCAGAATAGCAGGATAGCTCCTCATCAAAATAAGCAGCTTTTCTGCTTAAAACACCTCCTAAAACAAACATCTGTGAACGCATGATCTATTCCACATAGGCCCAACAGTGTTTTGAATAAAATGGAGAGTGTCAATGGTGGGGAAAATGTCAGGAAATCTTGTGAATATGGTCAGCCTAAAAAAAAAAAATGTTGTCAGGAAAGCTGGAATTAATTGAACAGGATATGGATTTTTTCCCCCTTCTGAGCTGATCTTGCTATCAGAACAGTATTAACTGTATAGACCATTTGCACTGTGGCCATATTTGAGGTGTGTGCTTTGTTCAACAGCGATACGCATGAGTTAGACCTCGTGCTCATTCATTGTTAATGAATTAAATTAACATAAAACACACCAATGCCAGCGTTGTGAAAGCAGGTGTAATGACCGTGACAGAGCATATCAACCATGATATACAATTAATGATTCAGAGAACTGATCCACAAGTCCTAGTCTGTAATCTCCTTGACTGTTACTAGATCATGGACGCAGAAATATTTTTGAAAAACATATTGTCAGATTTACTCACAGTGCTCTTAAATGCTGTGTCACGGACACTACAAAACGCTGAGGAATTGCCCACCTCCTTTGAATTTGTATCAAAAAAATATTTTCCAGGAAGTGGTCGGCGGGTTTGATGTAAAGGTTTGTGAATTTTAAAGATCTATTTAAATAAATCAAACGCCGTAAAGTTGAATGGTTTCAATCCTTTCGAAAAACTCCCTTTGCTCAATGCTCCCTTAGCTTAATGAAACAATAATGATAAACTTTAAAAGATCTTGCCTGAGAAAATGCTCAAATAGAAAAAAACACACAATGTACATGTAGTAATACACTTCAAGAATCTTAAAACTAATTGAAACCATTAAAAATCAAAAATGAACATTTCTCATAGCCCAAGAGGGAATTATTTGCGTAACCTCCTTTCCTATTTACATGTACATGTACATGGAATTGGATCATGTTCTCGTATCGCACTGTTTACAGTGCCTATCCCCTACGAAGAGGATAAATTATGAAATAACATTAGGCTGGGCAAGGAATGAAGCAAGGTAAGTCTTACATACTTTTTTCCAGATAGGAACGGTTGCCTTGAGTGTATCGATGCTGTACTGCACTGCTTCCAAGGCTGCCTGGCGATGAGGGGAAGACACTGCAATGATGACACTGGCTTCTTGGACCGGAACAACACTGTTGAAAGGGAATATCATGGGACAGAAAATACTTATGGACAATTTCACCTGCACATTTATGTTACTGAACAGTCCTATCCCCTTAAAAGTCATAATCTAATGCCTCTGACTAAGTTCTCTTGCTTAATAATAATTACTAAGAATAACATTTCTGTTTACGGGGAATTGGGAGACATTCCCATAGACTTGTGCACAAAATTGTTCCATCTTTAATGTCACTTAATCCCAATTTTACCTTATCCTACCCCAACCAATTGGGGTCCGCTCATAAGTCCGACGCCTCATAGGTCCAACCCCTCATAAGTCCGACAATAGCGCATCCCCTAACCAAATAAAGGCCCATCAGTCCGACGCCTCAAAGGTCTGACGCCTCATAAGTCAGACACCTCATAGGTCCGATGCCTCATAGCTCCAACGCCTCGTAAGTCCGACAAATAAAAACGCCTCGTTTATCCGTTGTCGGACTTTGAGGCGTCGGACCTATGGGGCGAAATAAATACATTTTATGCCTCATAAGTCCGAGGCCTCAAAAGTCAGAAATTTCGGACTTATGAGGCGTCGGACCTATGATACGGCCCCAACCAATTTTGGCATATTTATGATTTGGAACACGAATAATTGATCTAGCTCATTTGCGACCGTAAAATTTTGCCTCTAAATAGGAGATAAAAGTGAAGTTATGTTTAGAAAATCCACTGAAGGAACTACAACAATCAATTCTGAATCATCAAAGTACAAAAACAATACTTTATCAGAGGCCTTACCAAATTGGGCCTGTTAAAACGGTGTAAAGTTTGTGCCAATGGGGGGGGGGGGGGCGATAATACTTTTCTTGGTGTCGGGAGTCATCATTTGACATTTGTAAGTGGACTTAATTCTTAATTCCCATCTATAAATTTCATATACTAATGACAGGGGAGAGATGATCAAACACCATTCATCATCATCATTTCCACTTAACGTCCATTTTTCGCATGTTGTGGGATGAGACGTTGTCTTTCCTCAATGACCCTGTTCCATGCAGTCCGATTTCTGTCATCCTCATTGGCGAGGTTTGAGGTCTTCTGCCAGTGTCTCATCCCAGATCTTCCATGGCCTGCCACGTGGTTTCGGACCGACTATTTCAAAGTTCCATGCTCTCTTCAGCCAATGGCTTTCCTCCCTTCTTGCTAACTGTCCGTACCATCTCAGTCTGCCTTGCCTGATCTCATCTGTCATCTTCATCAGACCCACAGACTGCAGGAGGTCTTCACTCTTCCTTTTCTCACGCGGGGAAGGTCTTACACATCCATCTCACCATCCTCATCTCTGTCTGCCCACAAACGTACTATTAAATTTCCTAGTCAAAAAATTACCTAGTCAAAAAGTGTGTGTGTGTGTGTGGGGTGTGGGGGGGGGGGTGATACATTCCCCCATCCCGCAGGATAAACATCCCTGCCCAGACGTACTGAAGACAACGTAAGCCATAATATCATCAAGCAGCAGACACATGTGACAGTGAAGGGCCTGAATGGTCTGGCACCCTCCAAGGGCGGATCCAGAACACAATTTTGGGGGGGGCAAAAAAAAAATTTGGTCCCCCCAAAAAAGTGGGTCAAAAAAATTTCGGCGTGGGGTTCGGGGCCCGTAAGGGCCCCGAAATTTTTTGGATTCTAGATGCTCTGTGGTGCGATCTGAGGCAATTTCTGACCACTTTAACCAATGTTTTTTGAGGAAAAGATGGTGGTGTACTCATTGCCTGCCTTTATTGCGATGTCACATAAAAAAAAAAAAAAAATTGGTTTTGTTTTGGGGGGGGGCCATGGCCCCCTTTGGCCCCCCCTGGATCCGCCCTTGGCACCCTCATCGTATGCACTTTTTCACCTCCAAAAACAAACAAAAAGCTGAACCTCTTGCCCTTTTGAGTTAGAAAATTAAGTTAATAATCCACCCATTTATCTAAATGGCTACAGACAAACATGACAAGAGTTAAAATCTAGTACATGATATTTCCCTCTATTTGCTATGACCTACAAACTGGCCATCAACACTACAATCTGACAGAGCGTTTGAGACCACAGTCGCCACCACCACGGCAGCCTAATGGTGTTTACCAAAAGTGACTTAATTTCTTGGTGCGGACATCATGACATGTGGGTGACTCATCACATGATCCAAAAACAACAGGGATGTGGTGGTTAGTATACATGTAACCAGTGAATTGCTGAGTAATGTTACACAGAAAAACAAATCTAATTTGATGAGGGGAAAACAAGCTTGTGGCCACTTCTGGAGTTGGGTTTTGTTTTGTGTTTGTTTGTTACTTTGAAAGAAATGCTTTCACTTTCAGTTATTTGGGATACATACGAGTAATGAGGATATTATAAATCTACATAACAGGCACGCAAAAAAGTGGGTATAAAGCAAGATGACAGTGTGAAAAAGCCTTATGTACACGCACAATGTAGTCCAGTTTTGCTGCATTAGTAATAAACGGGGACCAAAAACATAAATTTGTTTAGCAGAAAACATGAGCTCTCCATTGGAAAATCATAACCCCCATTGTTCTAGTTTAAAATAGGCTCAGTTAATAATTAACGCAAAACCAAAATGATTAGAAATCTCAGTAGGCCTACACTAGTGTGTTTTTATTTAATCTCATTTAAGTACCATTCTCAATGATCTTAACTTTCAAAGGAGATGGAGCCAACTACTACTACTTGACATTGTACATTGCTCTGATAAAGTTGATGTCCCCTGGACAGTTAAGTTACAAAGAATATGTAGTTTCTAACTGCTACATGATTTTGTAGGATTAATCCTAACCCCTTTGGGTATTTTTACTAGAAAGTATCCTGAATCCACCAAAATCCATCAATTTTGCCATGCCAAAAAATGTTGGTGGCCAGTGAGTCCATCAGAATCCACCAGTTAGCCGGGAGTAAATCTGTTGAGATCCTGAATCCGTCAAAGTCCCCCAACTGCTCAATATGGAGGTATCCTGAATCCATCAAAATCCTGCAGTACCGCTAGGCTTCATGTCCTGCATCCATCAAAATCCCCCAACTGTTTCAATATGGAAGTATCCTGATTCCACCGAAATCCTCCAAAACAAGGTGTGGATTTTGATGGATTCAGGTGCGTTAGGGTTAAAGAACCTGCTCAGCACATGTACTGCTAGGGAGACAGTTGGTTTCAAATTACAGCATCAATAAGAAACAACAACTTGTGCCACTTAAAAACCACCGTTGACCAGCTGAAGCTTTCACAACTCTGGTTTGTGGTCGTGGAACATCCTCTACCTTCCAGTGTTGTTGTTTGATCAGCTTGTCTCAAGTGCATCTTGTACTCTGATACTGTACTTCCTAGATTCCACAGTGAGGCATTAACTTCATTTGTATTTTGTTTGTGTGTCTGACTGTGTTTGTTTTTTTGTTCCTGTGATTTCTGTGTGTGATTTTTTCCAGGCTGTTTCACCTACAAGCCTTGGCCTATGTGAACAGCCTTGTACTCTCCTCTCTCTTTTTAAAAAAAAATTTCCACATCTATTAACATTAATTCAATTAATTAGCTTCAAAGTATTATTTTGTTACTGGTGGTACTTACCCTCAGTTTTTTTTCTTTACTTAAGTATCACTGTATTGTACTTATCATATCCTACTTTGTATTGGTTTATTGGAGAGTTCAAAATAAATATCTACCGAATTGACTTCACCCCCACTTGCCTCTCTCCACCCAGGAGTATAAATGGGTACCGGCATTAGGTGGGGAGTAACCTGCGATGGACTAGCATCCCATCCAGGGGGAAAAGAAATATCTTTTGTCGTTCCATGCCTAGGAAACTGGAAATAAAGTCGGCCTGATGAGCTAAATTGGCTCGTGACAGACTTTACTACTAATCAATTGAATAGAAGTTTGCATGCTCTGGAAATGCTTTATTAAGCCTGGTCATGTTTATTGCATCAGAAAGTTCAGATTAAATTTCATTTTGCATTGCAAGATGAGGGCAATCTTTTACTGACTTGTCACAAACTAGTGTCAGCAGTCTCAAGTGTGTGATGATGTACATGTACTGACTTCTTCCTGACTTCTTGCCAAGCATTGGATCTCATAGTACTGTTCAAATTATCATTTGGCACAACTTTCACAACTATCACTTTTATGATACCTGTAAACGGCGGGTCTCCGCTGTTGGTTATCGAATAAAAAATAAAAATAAAAGATTCACAGAAAATGGTGATATGCAAGGGTGGGCAACTGTTTTCATTGATGGATCCAGCATTACACTAGCCTCACCATTTATACCGGATCTGATAATCACTTATTGGCTTATAGCTGTTAATGTATACTTATGTACACACCTTAAAGGAGCCTAAAATGGCATAAGGCCAAAAAAAAAGTCTCCGGTTTCTGGTATGGAGCTTGTCCAAAAAGTGGTGCGGCGACGCGGCTTTTTTTTTTTTTTTACCTGACTTTTTTGCTTCAAATGTCGACTGATGACTGCAAATGGTGCCCGACTAAACTTAGTACAAATATATGGGAGTCCAGAGAGGCCACATAAAGCTTATTCTCGATCATAACCCCATCTAAAAACACGTTAAAACTGTGCAGCAGCAGGATTCCAGTCAAACCAGTGAGTTTGGCGGTTTTGAGACATCATCTTTTATTGAAAAAAAAACCTTTTTCATTTTGCCGACGCGCATGGCTATGGCGATGCGCGCGCATACCAGAAACAGGAGACTTTTTTTTTTTGGCCTAAGATGAAATTACACATTGGCTCAATGCTAACTGCTCATTGCTTTAATTCAGCTGCATTAAAGCAATTCATTCTTTAGCCAGTACAGTACCATACATGTGGCCAGCTTCTACCTGTGCCCCTAAACCCCACCCCCCCCCTTCCATCCCCTCCCTCAAGTTGGTGAACAAAACAACTTCATATTTGCCCAGCTTTAACCGCTGTCAGACTGCCTGACGATGTGCCATGATGAATCTAGCATATTAACTGATTACAGGACTTTGCACAGCTGTTCCCCAAGCACGGATCGTTGCTCGTTAGATGGTTGGACATCTCGGTTGCCATGGCGATGATTTACTTGAATGTTTTTATCCCCTCCACATTCCTGGTTAACATCACAAATTCTTTGACGGTATCCACTTTCTTAAAGATGAACTGTCTGTGCTTACACCCCAAAGTATTAGTTTTATTGAAGTTGCTATTTTACCAGCAATGCAAAAAATATTCACTACTGAATGAGACGCTGAATGAAAACCACTGGCCCCAGTTTAGTTAATGAAATAATTAGTTTAGGAATTTCACATTATTTGGGGTCGACAATATTTCTTTCAAGGCGGACTGGTTCCTGCCCCCTACCAGAATCGATTCTACAGGGCAGTCTACTGGAAGGGCAGACCTAACCTGTTTGTACGAACACCCCCCCCCCAAAAAAAAAAGGGGCGGGGAGAGGGTTGCAATGCCTAAATTCCCATTTGTATTCCCATCCTCATCCTGAGAATGAATGGACTTTTAGCCCAGCAAAATAACATAGGAAAATCGGCTATAAATTAACCAGAACAAAATTCAAAATGCATACAAGCTGTCTGCTTACCCTATCCTGTGAAAGACAGCAATGTGCTCCACTTGCCACTTGTCTCGCACATCTCTACAGATACTGTGCATCTGTTTCTCAGCCATTGGGACGTATGCCTCATACTCCAGACGAATGACCTCCTTACCTTCAAAATTATTCCTAGTTGTACCTGTGAGAGTGGCGAAGGGTTGGGGGGTTATTCAGGTTAATTCTTCATTGGTGAAGGGCAAAACCTAATATTGATTTACATCACCCCGACGCAAATTCCATCTTAAGAATCGTTTAATTTGGGTTCCCGCCGTTACATGTACATCAGATTTGAACCAGCCAACTGATCCTGCAAGCTCGGTGGTCGAGTGGCAAGGCGTCTGTACTAGAAAACAGGAGGTCGTGGGTTCGTGTCACATCCGAGTGATTTTTTCCAACTGTCACTCGGGAGGTAACACACTGAGTATACAGTGTTTATATGTCGGTGAAGGGCAAAAACCAAATATTGATTTATATCACCCCAATGCAAGTTCCATCTTACGAATAATAACTCTTAACATTAAACTTCCCAAATCCTCCAAAATTCTCTTAGGATTGTGCCGGATTGAGGCTATATATGGCAAAAATGTGTAGCTGATTTTTGAGGATGCACTGTGTCAAGGTCTTTGGCCAGACCTTGTGTTGTTTATGCTCAGCCACGCACGAATTTAGTCCTTGATTATACTTGATATCCTCTGCACTGCTCCAGGATGTCACTGGCGCTGCCTCAACATATTGACGTTGATTGCTGGAGGATTTTGCAGGATTAAAGTTGCATCCTAGCAAAAATACCTAGGGAGCTAGGGTTAAGTAACATCAGAAGAGTGCCTTCATTCTGTGTATTGTTTATTCTGTAAGTCACAAATTTCTTTGGAGGTTTTTGGACAAGAAATTTCAATTTCAAATCCTTGCCTATGACGCTTATGCGGCCTGTATTACTGTGCATAATGCTGGATAAAAACATTGAAGGAGTATACATCTTCACTAGTGGTTCAAACCAGACTTGATTAAATGACTCGTTTAGGGTAGGAAATGCAAGCATGTCAGACTTGGTGGACTCAAATATTTCAAGAGACATTTCTCAACAAATTTTCGGCTCACTCCGGTAAGCTTTGCTAAGTTTAAACCAAATCTGGGGACATGTCATTCATGAAGCAAATTCAAAATAGGGGCCAGCTCAATTGAGATTTTGAAAAATAAAACCACAAAGGGAAACTGAGCTAGTTTGTTTTAGAATCAAATCAATTTGAACACAGAAATTGAGTGGGCAGGGTGTGAACCTGTGACCACCAGATTACAGTATTGGAGCACTACCGACAGAGCTATATCCAACCCCACATGTTGGCAGTCTCCAAATCTGTCAATTACTTTGTTCATTCGGCACTTGTCAGAAACAATAAACCTAAATGTGCTATTTGTCTAAATATCACTCCAAAAAACACAATGCTAGAAACACTCCTTAACAGTAACTTGACTTTGATTGTTCACTCACCGATGAAAATAGAAATAGCCCCCGAGGTTGGCGAAGTGACCATTCCTGTTGCCTCCTCCACACTCAAGGGGTCAGAGGTTATGCGCACAAAATCCTTGCCCGCCATCTGTCCAAAATGTCTCCTGTGAACGACAAAAGACAAAACTATTTTGTTAGCCCTAGAGGTGACAGCGAGAAAATATCAAAGTCTAAAAGGATAATCTGAAACAATTACTTTCATAAAAATTTAAACAGGCAATGTGCCATTCCTATGGGCTCCATGCCCAACAAGAGAGAGCACTTTTCTATGATGTGACACACTGCGTGCGCACACACAATTGTTTTACCATACTCCCAAGGACAATGCTTTGTGTTTCCCTTTGTCCATATAATATAACACTCTCCCATACACTAAGCACACAAACCTACCACAGAGGACTGTTTTGAAAAACAGACCCAACTCCCGAGGACTGAAAGGATCTGTTCTCCCTTTGTGTGTCGGTCCTCGGGGGTTATGTAGAACAAGTAAATACCGGCTCACACAATTATACCACAAAGTACGCACATGTATTCTTAATTCTGAATGTGCATTAAGTCTTCGCTCGGGCATGCAATTGGGGAAATAGGGAAAACAAATGAGGAAACTCCAAACCACCCAAGACTTTGTACAGAATTTTTTTTTTAATTTGTAATGGCTTTCATGAGTTATTCATAAGATGGAATTTGCGTCGGGGTGATGTAAATCAAATTAGGTTTTGCCCTTCACCGACATATAAACACTGTATACTCGGTGTGTTATCTTCAAATTAGGTTTTGCCCTTCACAGACATATAAACACTGTATACTCAGTGTGTTATCTTCAAATTAGGTTTTGCCCTTCACCGACGTATAAACACTGTATACTCAGTGTGTTACCTAATTTTCATGAGTTAGTAAAAATTAACGAGGAAATCAGCGGATCCGAGGAAAAGTTACATGCCTGTTTGCTTGAGTGTTGGGCGTTGTCTGAAGTACGTTCAAATATCACTCCAAGTGGTCTTCCACAACTCTCCCTTCCTCACCGTTGAGGGGGTACTTGTGCACAGAGCCAAAGGAGCTCTTATAAATTGATCAAGCAGCGCCATGCATTGTTCATACACGGAGCCCATAGACTTAATGTACAAACCTTGGGTAAAACTGCCTGCAATCTGGCCCGTAAGCAAGGCCTAGCCTCCACTGATTGGTGGGATCACGGCCACCTCATCATCAGGTCGAAGGTCAAGGGGGTCATCTCCACTGGTGATGTACTCTTGATTGACAGCTAGAACCACACTATCCTTGATGATGGAAAGCCTACATGTAGGGAGAATTCAAATGAAATGAAAATCCACAATGCAATCAAAACAACACTACTACATGTACTAGCATACATGCATGCACCACCTCTCGCAATGGGAATTTTTTTTTTAAAAGCATTGTCAACCTTGTGAATAAATTAAAATGCTTTGCACCAACATTTGATTCGACATTTTCGGACTGAACTTTGAATGCAAAAGAAAACCTGCAAACCCAGTTTTTAGTTTGATGTACCATCATTAATTGGACAGAAATCTGTACTTGTTTACACGACCATAATGCACCCATAAATTACCCCCCCCCCCCCCCGGTTCATTGACTTGACAATATTGAACGTCAATATCTTTGGCTCTTGGAACCAGACTTCAGCAACCACTAAAGGCTTCTTGGACTTTAGTTTATTTCCCCTGAAAGAAAATACTCCAAAGCCACAGATATTACTACATGCACTACAGGTTGAGAAACAATGAGCTTTACTTCAATAAAAAGTAGGACTTGATTGAAAACCTTACATTAAAGACAAATTGTTAAGAACAAAAATTATTCTTGCAGCGCGTATTTTGTCCTGGGACCTTTGGCATGGTATAAACCACCATATAAATATTATATAGCTCTAGGCTAGGTCGGAGCACAAGTTAAGTTTAGCGTAAGGTAGACCCGTGAACGTGGCGTTGTATACAACGCCACGCTGTCGTGTATTTTTGAACCTAGCGAAATCAATCCGCCATACATAATTCCGTATGGATGTTGAATACTCACCTAAAAATCTAAATTTGCCTGTCCGCGTGTTCAGGATGCGTCATTTCAATGAAATTTGCCATCAATGAAGACCCATATAGTCCCATACGAACGTGTAGAAATTAGATTTTAACCTGACAAGTGACCCTGACAAATGACCCTGGACGAGTACCCAGGGTCATGTGTGAATACTTATCACACGGTAAGGCAATGTTCAGTCTTTGTCACGGAAGGACGATTTCGCTTGGTTCGAACATGTACAAGAGCGTGGCGTAGTTTACACGTAATTTGCCCGTCCGATTGTTCAGGCTGTGTAATTTCGACGAAATTTGCCATCAATAAAGACCCATACGAACGTGTAGAAATTAGATTTTAACTCGACAAGTGACCCTGACAAATGACCCCGGACGAGTCGTTTGGACAGATTGACGGCTGTTTCATGTCGCAACCCCGAAAAAAAACCCCTGCAGACGATTCGCTGCTCGGCTCATCTCGTGTACGTGTACGTGTGCACACATGCGCACACGCACACGGGCGCACGTGCGCCCGCGTGCGATGCGGTGAGAGAGGAAAGGACTTGAAACTTGTCTAAAACGATGTCTCTTTTAGCTGGGACAGTAAACAGCCGTCGAATCATACGAAACAGGACGGTACAATAAAACGCAACGCGCATGCGTCAGTTGGGAGAATATGGCAGCTAGCAGGACTTCATGAACCGGGGCCAGAATTTTCCTCAAATTTCGTCAAATGCAAGTTTTGACGTACAAACAGATTTCAAGACAGCTTCATATGTGAGTACTTATTACATTGGCAAAATAACGTCCAGTGTGTGTAACGGAGGGAGTCAGAGGGACAATTTCGCCAGGTTCGAAAATACACAACAGCGTGGCATAGTTTACAAGCCACGTTCACAGGTCTAGCGTAAGGTTAGTTTATTTTTTGGCAGTGGATATTTTGCCGGAGATGGCAAACCTTTAGTAAACGTTAGCTTGCCGGATATGCACTGAACATGCGCAGTTACTGTATTTTTGTACTTAAAAAAATGTTCCGGTGACAAATTTTAGTCTGGCTCCATGCCAACATTATCGTTGTAACTTCGTATTCACAAGATGGGAATCAGACCATTTTACAATTTCGGACTTTATTTCCCTTAAATAAAAATCCTCCAGAGCCACAAATCTGAAAAAGAAAATGTAATACTCTGCAATAAAATGTTTGAGACATGTTAAAATAATCGCAGTGGCTATTGTTACGGCAGCCGTAACGCATTTCCCATTTTCTATCGTTACGGTAGACTGCAACTTTTATAATAACATGACAAGAAAATATAAAATTAGAAGGAAAAAAGTGAATTTGAACGTTATGAAATTCGGACTTTATTTCCCTTTTAAAAAAAATCCTCCAAAGCCTCAGGTTAGAAAAGGGAAAAAATTCGAGTGCAAAACTGAGATTCGAACCCGCAACCTCGCGGTGCAAAATCCTACCCTCTATCGACTGAGCTGTCGCACTGCTCGCTAAAACGTGTGGAAACAAATAATTATATACCTGCGTGCGTATCAAAAAAGTATCGTACTAGAGGGCGCTAAACAACGACTGCCGTAACGATAGCCACTTCGTAAAATAATAAAAGAAGAATATTCTTATTTTTGGGGGATGGGGAAAAAAACCTTAGAAATGTCGCCAGCGGGGATCGGGATCGAACCCCGGTCTTTCCGCTCATGAGATCCCTTGCTTATCCACTAGACCACAGTTACTGCTACACAATCGTTGGTGGTAATTTAATATCTTATAATTTAGCCCTATCTTAGAGAGTACAGCGCCCTCTGTTGATAGGGATTGCCGCCGGCAAACCTTTAGTAAACGTTAGCTCGCCAGGATTACCGCCGGCAAAATATCCACTATCTTATTTTTTCGTTTTCATCTGCTCATTTCTTACTGTGGATACTTCTTTAAAATTTGTAGTAGCAACTCATCTGGAGTCGGATTTTTCTTCACATTCAAAGTCCCTTCTTTTACTCCTGTAAGTTCTCTGCTTTTGGCGAAAAAATATACCTTGACGTCCACAAAATCAACACAACCGTTTCCTGCCATTGATCATGTGAAAAATTAAATAAACAGCTGATTGAACCGGCGCCCTCAATAGTCAAGCATAGGAAAGGTAAAATTACTTACGTAGAGGGCGGCCTTTATAACTGAAAACAGCGCCCTCATTAGTCAACTAAAGGAAAGGTAAAATACTAACGTAGAGGGCGGTCTTTATATTTCAGGACATTCAAGATGGCAGGTAGCATAAAATGGCACGACAGTAGAGCGCGTGATGAATATGCATGATATGACGTCACTAGAAGCTCATGAGTAATATATCACGCACGGTACTGATAGATATACGTGTAGATGCACACTGTATGTGCTGCATCCCACCGATGATATCACATTTAACAAGTCCTCTTTCTACTGTCGCGCCGCCACCCTCTAGTGTCGTCCCGCTTACCGACGATATCGCATTTAACAAGTCCTCTTTCTACTGTCGCACCGCCACCCTCTAGTGTCGTCCCACTTACCGATGATATCGCATTTAACAAGTCCTCTTTCTACTGTCGCGCCGCCACCCTCTAGTGTCGTCCCACTTACCGATGATATCACATTTAACAAGTCCTCTTTCTACTGTCGCGCCGCCACCCTCTAGTGTCGTCCCACTTACCGATGATATCACATTTAACAAGTCCTCTTTCTACTGTCGCGCCGCCTCCTCTAGTGTCGTCCCACTTGATGATCATCAGTAAGTGGGGCAACAGTAGAGGGTGGCGGCGCGACAGTAGAAAGAGGGACTTGTTAAATGTGATATCATCGGTAAGTGGGACGACACTAGAGGGTGTCGGCGCGACAGTAGAAAGAGTGACGTCATAGTCATGCATATTCATCACGCGCTCTACTGTCGTGCCATTTTATGCTACCAAGATGGCAGCGTACATAGCAACTGTAAACCAAGTCCGTAAAAACGACGATACTTTGGTCTATTTTGATGGCTAATTTTGATCTTACAACTCTAACAAGTATGGAAGAAATCCCGCATACGAAAGATCTCTTTAATCAGTTAACCTTAGGTGTCGTAAAATCGCTTGGTAGGTATTAAATTAGCTTAAATATAGGCCCTAAATTAGCTTGAGTAACTCCAGCTGTCATGCTCCATATTCATTCTCATGTAACGATGGAGGCATATCCTGTTCGTTAGAATGTGGTACTAGCAAGAGACCCTAAAAAAAATGGCTTCTCAAAAATTGTTCATTTTCACCTCTAATATCCTACCCCAGAGTTCATTTTCATACCTCATACATTCATTCAGCAGTCATTTATGAAGCCTATCAACTTGAAACAGACCACAAAAAAAAAATGTGAAAAATCTTGACGATTTCGGTGGCTTGTCTGTAAAAAAAAGGTAGTGTATATTTTGCCGGAGGTAACGCCGGCAAACTAACGTTTACTAAAGGTTTGCCGGCGGCAATCCATATCAACAGAGGGCGCTGTACTCTTTAAGATAGGGCTGAATTATAACATGTATCAAATTCCCACTAAAGTTGTGTAGCACAATCGGTGCAGTGGTTAAGTAATAGCTTTAGTGAGTGAGATGTTCCGAGTTCGAATCCTGACCCCCGCCACAATTTTCAATCCCCAAATAAATAAGAATATTCTTCTTTTATTATTTTAATATGTCTCAAACATTTTATTGCAGAGTATTATTTTTTCTTTTTCAGATTTGTGGCTCTGGAGGATTTTTTTTAAAGGGAAATAAAGTCCGAAATTATAAAATGGTCTGATTCCCATCTTGTTAATACAAAAATACAACGATAATATTGGCATGGAGCCAGACTAAAATTTGTCACCGGAAAATGTTAAAGTAAAAAAAAACAGTAACTGCGCATGTTCAGTGCATATCCGGCAAACTAACGTTTACTGAAGGTTTGCCGTCTCCGGCAAAATATCCACTGCCTAAAAAAAACGCCAGTTCCAACGGCTGTCGTCCATTTTGTTTTGCTAATTATGTAAATGTATGCATCACGTGATGACATCATAAAAAATCTGCACGCGCGATGTATGTGGGTACCACACCGCTTTCAGGCGCCGCAAGTGAGTTGATTAAATTTATGAGGAATTATGAAAATTGTTGAAACAAAATTTGAAGCGTTTCTCCATCAGATCCTAACTCAGTAACTGTTACTCTATCAAACGAGGGATCTAACACAGTTTAGTCAATTAATTGA